ACTCGCACAAATATTAACCATAGATTGATCGTGAAGGTATAAATAAAAAGGTAGGAGCGGTGAGCACAACCTATGCATTTTATGTGCTAAATTCTGGATAATATTTGATTATGCAGACGTTAGCTCTCTCCTGGTATTTATCCAGTGCTGTTTTGTTATTTTTTTTTATTCTGATGCCACCAAAGCGCATAAATGATCTCTATTTAAGCTCTGCTGCAATACCTTTACACACTAGAAATACTATTTTAGGTTTGAAAATCCATAAGTTGACAAGGGTTGAGAATATTGTCCGCTAGTACGCTGTTAGATACCACAAATCTTGGCCCATTTGGTAATAAATTCTAACTTACATTACCTTCGTAATTACAAATAATTATACAAACAATTCATAATCTCTTAATTAATTATGTGATTTGTTTTGTTCCTTTAAAAATATGATTTTATGATAATCAGACGGTGATTCATGCATGCCACAATTAGATCATGTGATAGGCAAACGAAATGCCCAACCAGAATGATGAAATGGTGTAAGTCTAAGGAAATACATTAACTGCGCTTTATGCAGTGAAGTTTCGGCAGCTGCAATGACTAATACATCTTTAAATGGAATATCAAAATCCGAAGTGTTTCCCAACTTCTGCCCAGCATTGCGCTGTAAAGTGATGTCCTCTGATCAGCATGGTCTGACAAAATTTACAAAACCATTTTGGAAGTCATTTGAAATTACTTCACCGACTTGGATTCCTCAAATAATTTTTGTGGATTGTAAGATTTAAATCGGTATTTGGTGCATCTATTAGGCTGTTTCTTGTGGTGCAATTGCACAAGATCTAATGACGCAACTGTTCACATTTGTCCTTAGAAACCCATGTAATTACTGTTTGGTCCATCACTCAAGTATATATAAACAATGACACGCAAACTTACAATCTACCTTGGTGGTTGCTTTAATGGATGCCTCTTCCAGACGTCTTTAATCAATTTGATTCATGGCCTGCGAATAGAGACCCAATCATATCAATAAACAGACACAATATGTTTACAAATGTAGTTTCAGATCTGAAACCATAAATCATCATTTACTTTCACCGGGTTGGCGAAAAATCAGGTGGAGTTTTATTTTGATTCTGCATTGACAGCATTTAAGTTGTTTGTGCACTACTGGCTTAGATGTCGCAGGGAAGGAAAACCTAGCCAATAGCAAAAAATACCGATTAAAAGTTGTTTTAAACAGCACTTCAGTGCATGATACTTAACTCGAATAGATTAAATAGACCGATTTGTAGATTTTGATGGTGCCAGGTTCAATTTAGGCTTTTATATTCGGATAACCGAACCTATAACTAAGAGCCCTTTATAAGTTCGCCGAATAGCTATTATGTTAAAGCCCTTTAAATTGTTTAAAAGCAGCACATATTGTTTGATTTGAAGTATAGTCCTGTATTCATTGGATATTAGTGTCAACTCCCACAAGTCAGTTAGATTGCCCTTCATTGTGAACCTTCAATCATAGGATGAATGAATGGCTAATCGCTGCAAAGCTATCCGTAAAGTTACTTAAACAAACTGAAGCAAAGTATTCAGACACATACTTAATGTAGTACAGAGATGGCCATCTGATATTTGTACGAAATAGTCTGCGTTTGATTAGGGTAGAGGTGGGTTGGATATGCAAATGAACTGTGTACACATTCGAAGCGTTTTTTGCATCTAATTAACGCGCGCTGGTGAATCTCTTCAAACGCTCATGCTTAGTACTCTGTCTCATTACCGGATTGAGGGTGCAGGGCTGAGTATCAAGACGCCTGCTTTTTAGCCAGGTCCTGGCAGTAAGGGTAATTTCCGCCCAAATGGTAAGGGTGATAGACTAAGGTATTTATTTTCGAGGCAACAAGGGGAAAAAAACCTACAAATTATGTCAAAATTATTGAAACCTAATAAACACATTTGCAGCCAGTGCATTTTTTTTCAAATTCTTTCAAGTTTTGTTAAATTTTAACATACGTTGATGGATACCTTTCTTAAAGAGCGGCCTATTCTGACAAATTCCCGGCATTCGCTAGTCTTATAATCATTATGTCCGTGTCATGAAATATTGGTATTCACATCATCGTCATGACCAAATTTTCTTCACACACTGAGGTAATTGGCTGTAGTTCGACGTGAAGAAGCTCTTGGTTTTCACTCAGGTTCTGTAGCACGACTGATGAGCGTTGTTATGTGCTTGTGCAATCGTCATTATTTAATCCCTCGTGAAAGAACTGCGTATGACGCAAATGGAGTCCAATCAAATCAAATCATTGAGATTTCACAAAACACCATAATTTAGATCTAGGCTAATATACACCAGCAATACGCAGCACACATTGCAGCTTTGTCTCGCTGCCTCGTGGAATATATCGCTATTTACTAAAAGATGACTCCTGCGTGTTGCTAATGGTGGTACATATATTTTGAACATAGTTCTCTGTACCTTGGTATTTGTGCTTCACCACTTTATTTCTGTTTACGATGTGTGCATTTGATACATTTTGACCACAAAAGATAAGTAGCAATTAAATTCGAAGATGCGTGTGCACTAATATGGGAGGACTTACCGATGGAATAAGAATTGAAGTGTTTTCTCAACGAGGCCTGCACTTATATTATTCCTACATTTCGTTTGTTCCCCCATTTGCTTTTATCCTCACACAACTCCCCACACTTCAACATCAAGGACAATCGAACACTCTTTGGCATAACCCTTAACCTAACATGTGTATGCAACTAGACAGGTGAGAGAAAACAAATTTGTAGGCATAGTGAATGATTATCACAATTTACCCAATGATTCTTTACAGAATAGAGGGCAGAACGGCTCGACTGAATAGTACGAAGCCCCAGCTTCCTAAATATTGTTCACCATATGCAATTAGATACATTTTCAAAGCATTAAAATTGCGAGCTTAGAAATAATTGGTATAGCATTTAAGAGTTAGCCATGCGACAAATCATGAGTTTAAATTGACATCAATAAAATGACCATTAGGAAACTCTGAACCTTGTAGCTTGGACCGTGATGGTTCCGTGAGTGAAGAAAGTTATTTATGAAAATTGGAAGCAAAAGGAAGGACAATATTTTTGCTTTATATTTTGAATCTTAATGATTAAATCCACCATTTTTGTGACAGTATGCTTGTATAAAAATTGGGACGCATTGAAGTTTCCTTTTAGGGAATCGATAAGAAAAAGGATTAATTTTAGAGATTCATACTATTTTCAACATTTACTTTTCATGGAAATCACTTTGGTTGCCTGATTGTCGGGTCGAGTAACCTCTGTAGGTATATATGTACATATATGTACATTTGTATACCTAGGTGGAATTAAGTAGGTTGTTTAGGCGTCTCATGTGCAATGAATTTAACATAAACAATTTTAAGGTGTCTTAACGAAGATATACACAATTAAAATCAGGCAATAAATGTGGACATATTCCAAGGTCAATGGTGCGATGCCGCTTTGGCATATTTATTTGTTTGACCCGCATTATCAAGGTGTTCTATACCCACAATAGAGCTAGGTCCCGTGCGGCTGTTACAAAACTACGAAATATGTCACATTAATCTTGAACCTTTGGTGTGCAATTCTGCTGTTAATGGTTATGATTGAAGTCAGGACGCCAAGTGACGGGTTACCGTGTTGTAAACATGCTGGTACCGATAACCAGCATGCCCTAGACCAGCTTGCCATGAACCTAGAGCCACGCAGCTGTGTGTATTGCTTTTTGTTGATTAAAGATCAATTTCCACTACTAAGATGCGACAGGCAACACCGTCTTTTGCCTGTTGGTGCAGATTTATGGTATGGATATGGAAAATACAGATAATGGACTGACTTTCCAGCTTTAAGAAAACATCACTCCTCTTAAAAAATACTTCAGAAGGTTTGAAAATTTTTATATACATTCTAAATATGGTCAACTCTTAATGTTAACTACAAATACTAATCGTTTTAAGCACTTTAAGAAGTCGCCAAAGCGATGACTTGAAACAGGAAAAGTCAAATATCAAAAAATCACTTTGGCCCTTTAAAAAGTTGCTGCTTATTACTTAAGTTGATTACCATGAAGTATTAAATTAATCTCGTTATTCTGCTTCCACTTGCTGATGACCTTGAGGTGACTTAGGAACTATGGTGCGATAGGCAAAATAAATTTTAGTCACAATTTCAATATAACTTCAAGTTCTGCGCAATAACAGGCATTTTGCTAAAATCCAATGACATTTTAAGATTTGTCGTATAAAGTTGATAGTCTTATTTACGTTTTATGCAACAGCATTGGCTAAAGTTAGATAACTACGTCGTATATACGTGGCATATAGCATCTATGTAAGTATGTCCGGTGATACATTGGCTGAGATTATTTTAAACCGTGAGATTTGGTATTAAAATATTTCTTTTAATTCTTTGTAATAACGCGGGTCTTCGTTGCACGTGTAGTGCTTGTAAACCCTTGTAATTGGGAGGTATGCTAACTTTTCCACATCGGTGGGAATTAACGTAGAACTGCCCAAAAAAAGTTGTAGTCTTTTCAGAACTTGATAGCAACTTTTAGTATGACTTTTAGGGATCCTACTGATGGCATTACGACAAATAGTGGCATTTATTTCCCTGGGCTTTATTGGTGAATATTCCTCTCTTGAAGTATTCTAGCGTTTAATTCTAACTTAACGTACTGCTTTTGAATTTCTTTATAGGGGACTAAAACACGGCCAAAACCTGTTAAATCAAATAAGGTTGGTTTTCGTCTATTCATAATTCGACCTGCAGCCAGATAGCCCCTTGGTAAAACTTCTAAAGTCGGTTTACAAAGACTATGAGCGAATATGTAATGAGTTTAACTGTTCGATGTGTCCAAAAATTAAGGAAACTCTAAGATGGGGTATTTCAGAGGAGATTGTTATCAAGACGGTACGTGTACTAGTATTACTGCAATTATTCGACTGTGATAGTTTGTAATGGATCCCAAGGATCGGCGAAATATTGAGTACTGGGATGATAAGAAGTTCGTGGAATGGTTTGAACATGGTCATGAAGAGGCACAACCGAAGAAAAAAGGTAAAATCAAAAAGGGCCTTAAGGGAGAAAAGCCACTGGTGCGTCTTCTGCCTCTTATCGACGCTCTGAGGAACAATCGCTACTTGCAAATAAAAGAGCTTTATGTTTGGGGCGTCTACCTAGAATATAGTGATATGTTATGCTTGGTAAGAAAGTTAATGTAGCCAATTTGCATATATGGAAGGGAAGTATGGTTGCCAAAGGAAGCTATGAGTTGTCCTATATTGAGCTAATTGACTGTTTTATCAATCAAAAGGCCATTGATGCATTTGCTCCAAATGTCAACTATACAAAAACACTACGAGATTTGATCCTTGATTTCAATGAGTGAGTCTGGACCTTTTGCTTGAAAAGCATATAGATTTGGAGATTCTGGGTGTTACACACTTTGCGAAGGACTGAAATCATGTCGTTGGCTCGTTCGGTTAAGTGTTTGCTTCTGTGGTCTTAACAAGCAAAGCGGCATTTGGCTGGGTAATCTTGTAGCTGAGACCTCAATCAGGTAAGGCTACAGCATTGTACATAACAATGCCATTACTTTGTTTGCTTTTAAAATAAGCGGCTTAAGATTATTTCCTTCATCTGAGAGTTTCTTGCTTAGATATTTGAGAAAGGTGACGTAAGTTCTCTCTGGAATAAAAAGAGAAAAGGAATATGTTTTATGCAGAGAAAATTTGCTTTACCTACTCTTGCTATATTCTGTTAGTTGGCTAACTCAATTTTCTTCTGATCGTAATTGAAATGCACTTCTGTCAAACCCTACTCCATTATTACCTAGTATTTAAATGTAGTACATTAAATCCTTTTCGTAGCTATTTTTTCGGAATAGTCGATATAAAATAAAGTGATCGAAGATTTTATCTAAAGTTATGATTGTGAAACAAAGGGAGCTTTTTTTGGACGGAAATAACTTGGAGGCCGAAGGCGCAACTGCTCTGCTCACACAGTTGGCCGAGGCGGCATATTTGGAGGGGAAGGAGCGCGAGAGACTAAAGGCCGAAAGGATGGCCGTCGCAGTAGCCCAAGCTCAGAGTAAGTCTTGTTTTGAGCATGTGTGTTTCAGTACATCGGGTATTGATATAAGGCGATGCTGCTTCTACCATTTTGGACTGATTTCCCCAAGATTTGATTGCCTTACAAAAGAAAAGATAACCGATTGTTTATGGTATTTCTGATTAACCATGAATGAAAAACAGTAATTTTGAACTAATATGGCCTAATCACTTTATTTAATCTCAGGTGGGCTTTTTAAATTCAAAAATATTTGGGTATTCGAGAATCAAAATTATTGGCTTGATTTGCTCTTTTAAAGCTGGAAGAAAACGAATTGACCTAGATGCTCCTCTAGCGGAATCAGAGACGCACACTGCTGAGGATCCAAGCACGGTCAGTGACGTGAATCCAGAAAGTGTGTCTGTGAATGCCTACATTCAGAAAAACGAAGCGAACACAAACGTTAGCGCTAGTAGGAAAAGGCAAACTCTTGGCAAAGGTAATTATTTTATTTGGTTTTATGTAAGTTAATGAAATGGTAAGTTCCATACCGCATCGATTATAAACACGTACGTATGTAAATACACTTCTAAATGTACCTGTAAATTTAGAACAACGATTTCGAAACCATAAATAAACACGGGTCGTTTTTGTAGGAAAAAATAAGAGAAAAAGTGCTAAAATGCCACCATGTGGACCGCAAATCACCCATCTCCATATGGCGGAGAACAGCATTAACAGCATCGGTCGAGGAGGCAGTTTCGCTCCAGCTCGCTGCATGCAGCTATTAAAAACGCAAGTTGATATAAAACTATCCAACCTCGAATGAATGTCATATTACATCACTTATTGGAGAGAAGATATTATGGGAAAATTTTTAATTTATATCATTTGAAGCCAAGTCGTTCTGGTTCGAAGCACTTTCAATAGAACGTCTTAATTGTCAAGTAGAGTTTATTGTGTGCTCCATTATTACCCATTGAAGCCCGACAGCCTGACTAAATGTCTTTGCGGGTTTCTAGATAGCATGCTTCTGAGAGCTGCTGAGAGCGTACTAGAGCTCATGTAGAAGGTGGTTTTTAATGGCGTCACACACATATGCACCCGCATTTACTAGTCTAAGACAAAAATATTCTGATTACCAGGATGCAACAATTCTACTAAAAGTGCGAACAAAAATATCAACATCTTTTCGATACATTTTCTGCATTTCATTCCAGCATAATAGCATATTCAAAGGATCTGCAGGAGATCGATATTTTTGGCAATGATATCGGGCAAGTGGCGGGCCGCATCGTTCTGGAGGGCATTCTGGCGCGAAAAGACAACAACCTTCCACGCATCGGTCTGCGCGTCACCCACCTCATTAATCAGGACACCTACGACATGATTCGCAAGTTGGCTCCCAAACCCAAGGGAAAGAAGAAGCGAGGCGGGAAATAGCACAATCTCGCTGCTTGTCAAGTCAATTTGAAGAGTTCGCGTCTCTTCGCATATCACTTTGTAGTAGGAATATTTGACGATGAGGAACCTTTGATTTATAACACTTTAGACACTCCCGCATACAAAGGTATTTGAATTCTACCTACATCTGAAAATGTGTAATCTTAAGGTGACGCGTTGGATGAGAATTTAAATCCTTGTGAAACTCACCGTTGGAAATGATTACTGTGAAACAAATCGCAGTGATAATGCAAACAACTGTTGCTAATTAAAAGGTGGTAACAGTAACCAGAGTCCAGCGAAATGCCAGGTTCCCATTGTGTTCTACTGATCTCGGATAACATGAACCAAGAGCGCGGCCAAACTTGAGCCCCCAGGGACATATCAAATGACAGCATCACTTCGATCAACCTACCAACAGCTCTGTAGCTCCCAGTAAGCCATCGTCTGCTTAGGTGTTTACACAGTCCACATATTAAGTCGCAAAGTTCTATTTACCTTATGGGTCTGAAACCAAAACAGATTTGAATACCCCTGTAATTCAGAAATAACCGCGTTGCCGGCACTATTAAACCTTTTTTTTCACAGGTAATCACGTCAATAAAGTGCCTTCCCCGTTTGGCACGTACCATCACCGGTGAATAACAACTGGGGACGCGTTAGGTATATATTGAGACCCGCAGTGTCTTTAATAAACATCAATATAGGTCTGGAATGTTCGGAATAATACGCCAGTGAATATCTTCGAAACCAATTAAAAAGAAGCAGATCAGATACACACATGTAGTAAATGTTGAGGGCAATTAGGGAGAATTACAGTAATGGGCCAGACAGCAGACTGCGGCATCAGGACAGCATGAATTTCGAATACAGGTAAAGGGTGCCTTGAAAAATGTGGCGACCAGCCTGGTAAACACCATGTAATACCCAGTATGCAGCAAGACCAGAGACAGAGAGGATAAGCGCTCGAGAAGCCCAACGAACTACAACCCATGATCGAGATGCCGGTTTCACCCTACAACAGATAAAATGCTTCCTGGTAAGGCAGATATAAAACCTTTTTCTCGGAAGGGATTTTATACGCCATTCGAGCAGACGGTGGATTAAACACACCAACCCCCAAATCGAAACAGATACAATTACTAAAGTAGCGTAAATTACCGCCTCTTGATGAAGCATACTTTGATGACATAGAAGGGAGGAGAGTCCTTCTGTGTTAGTGACTTCGATTTTGAACACAAACTAAAAATGTCTTAAGGTGTACAATTGCATTTCTAATAATTCAAATAATCAGGAGATAATAGAATGAATATGTCCAAAAGAGCGCCCTTTAAAACCCCATTCCTCACGACAGTACAACTTCGACATGAACACCAAATGAGTGCGAAATAAATCACCCCCACCGTTCAACGGCATTAAGCTAACTAAAATAGGTAAAAATTCTACAAAAATATACCCAATCCCATGTGATTTGGACCTAAAACAAATTCAATTTGTGTGTTTAGCGACCCCTTTCGACCAAATAGTTCTAAAATTTAGCAGGATCTAACAATTAAACTCAAAAATGAAACAGTGTGCATATGAAAAATGCATTGTAAAACCTTCTGAGTTCAGCTTTATCGATGGTGGCAGCATGATTCCAGGCCTTCCTGATGCCAGCCACATGGCCAATCCCGACAACTGCTACGACAACACGGGGCAATACATCTAGCCCAGGCCACTCGGGGCACCAGCAGCAGCACTGGCGGAGGAGATGGGGGTGTTCTTCGGGATCTAACAGAACCTCCACCGTCGAATTTTCGCTCCTCTTGTCTGACTCCCTCCGCTTCTGGTCATGCTCCTGCCGCTGACGAACCTCTGCCCCCTTTTCCTCCTCATCCTCTTCAACATCTACTTCCTCCCCCCTTCGGTTCGCATCATGTCCTGGCTCTTCAGACGGCAAACCGCACACCTCCCAAATTGACCGGGCTAGGTAGAGATCCCGTTCCTCCAGAATAATGCGTGTCAACTCGGGGTAGTCACCAGCCAATGCCTTAATCAACTGCTCCAGGAGGTCCTCACTTTTCATTTCTTCAACATCCTCGGGGCTAGTGTAAGGAAGATAAGTGGATAAAATGCCGAATGTAAACTTGCTGCATCTGTTAGTTTCATTAAAAAAGTGACATATATTAATCTAATAGAGTGAAGAACTCACAAGCGTTAGCAGTTGACGTCTACTAAGCCAGTAGTGATAAGTACATGAGAGGAATAAGAACAAAAGCTACAGTTTCAAAGGTTGAAAAAAGGCACGCGTGCACAACCAGCAAGAACACAAATGGTCGATGGCTTATAACATAATAATGGAACATCACAAATAACACATACGTTATTTCCTCGAAGCCGAATAACAAAGAGAAGAAAAACCTCGTTTTCTGCCATAACCCCAGTGCATCCATTGCCCTCTGAAGGGTTACTTTAATTGGCCGATCCCCGAGAATGAGATGACAGTGGGCTTGCTTAGACGCCTAAGTAAGATATTTCAATTTTATGTCGGTATTTCCAATTTGATAGACGCAACTACAATAGTGCCCTTACTTCCTGAAACGCAGCACGAAATTCACCTCCAGGTGCCATTCCAATTTGCTCCATTATATACTTTGTAAACCGAAGCAAAAGATATTGCAAAACGCCGTTTGATACACCCATCTAGAAGCATTTTTTATGAGAAGCAGCATAAACATGCTCTTCAGAAAGTAACGCATTTCTGATCAGGAGCAATAACATAAGTCAGTAGCATAAGCCCACAAAAAACTAGCCATATCCCTGTATAAAACCAATAACCTATGTAGGAGAATGCAACAAATTGGAAACTGCCTTCTACGCATGAAATTTGGCGCCCGGCAGAATGTTCCTGTGATAACTTACTTGCTAATGTACCGCCAAACACATTCAAATAGAGAAACCTTTACGACATCATTACCCAACAACCGGACTCACATTTCTCACGTAGTCAACCAGGCTGTTTTCCCGAATTTGCCTTTTAATATCGTCTTCAGATAGAAGCATGGAATGACTTCGATTCCTACACAACTCAACAACCACAAAGTCAGGAAGAGTCTTTTCCATTATCTAAACCATTTATAACACTCACGAAATGACCAGTTCATACAAAACGAACATCCGCAATGCTTTCTTTGCTAAAGTGAGCCGTTCCTACCAAGTATACTTTTGTGCCGTTAGAACATTCTATTAAGGAAACCGTCTTAGGCAACTCGAAAGGAGTTCGCCTCACGATCTGGACGCATTCCAAAAATGAACTAATGGCATTCATTTCATAACTATCTCCCGTTCCCTCTGAATCTGAACAAGCCGCATAAGCATTCATCTGTGGCGTGTCAATGGCCATAGTGACAATTAAGGTCAAACGACAACGCGTGTTACTTCAGCCTGTCTACGCGCTTAATTATCTACCAATGAAAAACTCAACCTTATGAAGCTGAAGGATCTGGAAACAACTAATTACTTTCATTTAACATCAGTCAAAACAAGTGGTTCGTTAAGCTTCATAAAGCAAGTACACTTTATCTCAAGGCATTTTTAGTAAGTATGGAAGATTAGCATAATATGCCCCACTTTCGTATAATAAAGTTCCGAATAACCAGTATTATTACCAAACTGTATTATCACAAACAAATAATCACAATCTTACCAGTGCTTGCACATTTTTGTCGTAAGGCTTCATAGTCGCCTTGGCTGTATGAATATCACATTACATATCTTACCATTGGAAGACTTATAATTCTGTTTAGAGCTATTTATG